TATCCTGCTTCTGTTCAAGGGAAGAAAAATGAGCCTCCTTGCTCAAGATAACACACCCCAATTTTGGAGGGCTTACTGTGGGGGGAAGGGTGAGCGTGGTATGTAAATACTGTATAACCCTTGCAAAACTGTGAGGGTTCCTGAACAATTTGCAAATCATTGTAGCAAATTTGCTATTCTACATAGAGGATGTTGGGGAAAAAAGTGACCCCCATATTTACAGATCTAAAATCTGATTGATAGTGATTTGACTGAATCTCGTGGTGGAAAAACTGGAGAAGCTGTCAGCTCTAACGGGTATGCATGAACATTTGCATGACTAATCACAGCTTTAGCTCATTGTTATTGAAAATGGGGATAGACTAAAGGGGTCTGAAGTGGCACAAGATGTTAATTATTCTTATGTACTCTAAAACTTGTTTACACTGGCACGAACTGTACATCCATTAGAGCAAAAGAATTTTGCTTTTTCTTTCTGTCAGTTATCTTTTTAGTTATGAGAGCTGGCAGATGAAGAAAATACTGTTCTTGTCTTTTTGAATACTTGTATGTCAGTTCTTGATGTTGTTCCTGACTTCTAGCCAATTGGAAAGCACATGTGACCTGCAATGGCAGAGGTAAACATTTTTTAACTTTGCATAAACACTAATATTACATCATAGTGAGTAGAACTCCATGAGCATTTGTCCAAGCCTTCAGAGAGTGCAGACACCCTCCCCCAATGTCTCATATTTTCTGTGGACTACAGGTAGACATCTGCTGAGTGCTTCCCTTCAAAAGTGACTAACTCTCCTTAGGGTTTAGGGATCTTGGCATCTAATTGGTGGAGGGCCTTTGTAGCGTGGAGGAAGTTTCACGAAGAAAATGTACGTTCACTTTGTCAATGCACTAGCAGGTGAAAGTGGTAACAAGGTAGTGGAGAATCAATTTCCCCATTTATCATCGCCTCTTGAAAACTTGCTGTCATGTTAGTGCTTAGGCTACCAAATTAGAATGGTTTTGTTTTATACCCACTGCACCCAGGAGTGACTGTACAAGGTGCAAGGCAGCAGGGCTCACATCCATGGAAGTTTTGTATAAACAAATATTCTAAGGCTCTATTCCAGGTATCATTTTCCTGCTGGAATCGCTTTCATGAATTCAGGGATAGATGAGAGCACATAGACAGAAACCTGCACGGAGAGCTGTATAACCTTAGGACAGCTGAGAAATTCTCTGCTCCCTGAGCTTCCTAGGGTGCAAGCTGTTCCCACAGAGCACAGAGCCTGCTTTGGGGGTCACAAGCATAAAGAACATGAATCCTGGTTCTTGGAAGAGCAAACTCTGTAAGCTTTATTCACAGAGTGGCACCTTACCCCTTACATTGCCTTTGCAAAAAGAGTTATTCCTTACCATGAATAAGATCAAGAAAAATAGCCGGAGATTTACAGCACCAAGATGGCTTATTCTAAACATACAGCTTTGCCAACCTCTCTAGGGACCACATTTTTAAGGTAGGCACTGAGACTGCTGGCAGATATGATCCCCCCCCAAAACAAACAAACAAACAAACAAAACACCATAAAAAAATCCCTACGCTTTACTGGACACACAACACATTAGTTCAGCCCGGCTTTGCGGCATCTGTATAGATTGGGTGCTTCAGCAGGGCATTTGGCAGTTTTGTTTAAAGCTGATTCAATCAGCTATTAGGTAAAAGTGCCAGAAAAGCCCCACTAAAGCACCTGATTTATACAGATGTTGCATGAGCTGAGTCTAACTGACATGATGCCTCTTCTGGGCATGCACTGGACTAGGGATGTGCAGAGTTTAAAGTAAAGCATTGTTTTGGGGGTTTTTTACATTTGTAAGCAGCCTGAGCATACCATCTTTTCTATATTTCATGTAACTGAGGTATATTGAATGAACTTTTTATTACTATGATTTATACAGTGGGGAAGTAACTCAGCACAGGAAGATCTCTGTCTTTGATTTTATATAAAACTTTTAAGTCTTAGGTACTTACATAGTGTTATCTTATAACTTTAATTTCTTATTAGTCAAGGCAATGTGCAGAGTTTTATGTCATGTCACTGCAATTAAAGTCAATAAAAGCCACATGTTTATAATCCCAAATAATGCAGAGGAAGTGTTGTCTAGCAAGTGGAGATAGGAAATGAGTGTCAGGACTTCTGTTTACCATTTTCTGTTGTACCAGACTGTCTCTTACCCTGTCACCTATTCTCTTGTTTCCACCTATCAATAAATATTACACTTAGTTTCTTCACTGGTCTTGAAACTTTGTATTTTTTTATATGGATCATTGAAATCCTCTGTTTAAAGCCAATAATGTATTAGGATGTTGTAGCTTTTCCTGTTGCAGAGAGTTTAATATACAGTGAATACGAAGTGCAAATGTCTTGTACCTGGTGGACTAATGAATTAGCAGATTGCTCCAGGAAGCCACTAGTTCCACTTGATGTCATGGCTTCCTTAAATAACAAAAAGGCTTTGAAGTCTTTTTGGTAAAACTTCAGAAAGCAGATAGAAATCCAGTTCTGGAAGTGCTGTCTCTGCCGAATAATATAGATAAAATGTAAATTGATTCTAACCTTTTTTCCATTGCAGATATATGGAATAGAAATGGTTAAGCATATCATTTGAGATCATGGATCATATTATTTAATATTTAATAATTAAAAAATAACCAATAATCAATGTTGGGAAACTGATACTATCCTGTGTCAATTATATTATTACCTGTTGAATAAAACCAGTAGCAGCTAATATCCTTCATAGACTTAGTGAATGATTAAGTTTAAGCTTATATTATGTAATAAAATCGGCAACATGCTTATTTCTTAACAGGTTCATTTTTTTTCTGGCATTTTTTGGAATTAAAAAAATGTAATCCCATTGACCCATCTATGTTCAATCTACCGAATCACCAAGAGTATCAACATTTTAACAGAGCAGTACTTGGATGTAAACTGTTTCTGAATTAGCTTGTCCTTTGATGCTTTTGTAGATGTCATAGATTTTTAGGGTTGGAAGGGACCCTCCATTGAGAGGAACCAGTTGTCCATCATCATTTAGAGTGATTTTTATATAAAAATATTGACTTGGGCAGGGCTTTTTAGTTTTTTCTATTTTGCATTAACTATGTATTTAATTTTCAGATTGTCTATTGTGTCTGCTAGTTGTAGGTAACACATTATACATTTTTGATATTTTATGTTTTAAGAATATAATTGCCCAGAATTTTACAGAAAGGGGGATTTTTTTCTATAGATATTGATACAAAGTGTGTTTAAATATTTCTGGGTACATTTACATGAGACACTACAAGCACAGTAGACTAATTCTATTGTGCATTAGCACAGCAGGCAAAAACCGTGCTAATGCACACTAGAATTAGTCTACTGTATATTAGCATCACAGAAAAACCATGTGCCACTTTGCTTTAAATTAGTGTGCTGCAATTACAATGCATTAATGCATGTGTAGACATGCCATCTGTGACTTACTCTGAGCCTAAAAGAATTAGGCACAGGGTTAGCTGTACATGCTGTGAACAGTCCTGTTCAAGTGAATGGAAATATTTATAGGGCTAGATCCAGTGCCCTCTGATAGAAATTTATGGCTTCTGCCCATATTGCATGAAGTTCACCATGTGTATAGGTCTTTGCAGAAAAAGTATTATTATACAATCATTCTGAAAGTTAGAATCAAAGATGCTGGTATCACTTTCCTGATCACCCTTTCAAATCAGTATGTGGTGAAATTCTTTGCCCAAATCCCACTTTTTGGTGGGGAAATTTGATTTTGTAACTCTATGAACATTGTTTTGAAAGTGCCCCAGTCATGACGCAGGGGTGTAGGTTGCAGCTGTGTTGGTCTAAGGACATAGGCAGACAAGGTTCTTTGGGTGATTCTGATACCTTTTATTAGACCAAGTACATGCTGTGAACAGTCCTGTTCAAGTGAATGGAAATATTTATAGGGCTAGATCCAGTGCCCTCTGATAGAAATTTATGGCTTTTTCCCCTATTGCATGAAGTTCACCATGTGTATAGGTCTTTGCAGAAAAAGTATTATTATACAATCATTCTGAAAGTTAGAATCAAAGATGCTGGTATCACTTTCCTGATCACCCTTTCAAATCAGTATGTGGTGAAATTCTTTGCCCAAATCCCACTTTTTGGTGGGGAAATTTGATTTTGTAACTCTATGAACATTGTTTTGAAAGTGCCCCAGTCATGACGCAGGGGTGTAGGTTGCAGCTGTGTTGGTCTAAGGACATAGGCAGACAAGGTTCTTTGGGTGATTCTGATACCTTTTATTAGACCAACTTAAATAGTTGGAAAAAACATTTTAAGCAATGTTTCGGGTTTAAAAACCCTTCGTCACGCTGAGGAAGTTTCTGCAGTTGGTGCGTGCTCTTCCTGGATGGAATGAAAAGTAAAGAAGCCAGCGGCTGGGCTGGTATGCAGACAAGACAGGCAGTCAGTGAAGATGTAGATTGAGGGGTCAGTGGGTGAGAGAGAGTCTGGGTTGGGGGGAGAGGCCAGTCATGACAGAAATCTTTCCTTTTGCTGTTGCTGAGTGCAATGGACTCCTTTAGAATTTTTTTCTTGATGCCATACAAATAGCTGTAGATGCAAAAATCCAATTGTGCTTTAATTAAGCAATATTTACAAATATATATGAATACTCAGAGATTACTCATTAAAAGTTACCTTTGTTACCTAATAGTGAGCCATTCACGATGATCACCTCAAGATGACATTATTTGTAGGATAGACTTTGTAAACCAGCGCATTCCAGAATAAAGGAGATGTTTTGCAAAGTGGCTGAGTAATCGTTGGGTGCTAATTTTATAGTAAATATTGTCGCGGCAAATTTCCTTAAATGAGTAATCCTCCTTGAACTACTCATGCAAAACTGTTGATTTAGGAATACAGTGATCAAAATTTAGTTTGGATGGACTCAGGTTTGTTACTTTTGTTTTTTGTTTTCAGGGTGTTTTGGAGTTTGGGATAACATTACTTGCTGGCACCCTGCTGAAATTGGAGAGACTGTCACTGTTCCGTGTCCAAAAGTATTTAGCCACTATTTCAGCAAACCAGGTATTTTAAGTTTCTTTTAAATATCTCCAATGCATGATGGCAATGATAATAATGATCAGAGCCAGCCTTAGGGGTGTGTGACATGGGCTACCACAAAGAGTACTGTGGTCAGGGGTACTTGTGCCCCCCCCCCCACAACATGTACACACAGCAGTGGCCTGCCCCCGCTCCCCCCCGCCCAAGTCAGTGACACTGCTGCAGGCAGAGGCAGGCAGGCATGTGTATGGGGCATAGTCCAGCAGGAAGGTGGAGCCACCCATACTGCCCAGCCCACTTCTAGCCACTACTCAGAAGGAGCTGGGCCAAGCAGTGCAGGTGGCTCTCCCTCTACACCAGACTGTACCTGCCCCTGCCTGCCTGCTTCTGCCTGCAGCAGCACCAGTGACTTGGGGAGGATGCCAAGGAGGAGGGGAGCTCGGGGGGCAGGGGAATACCAAATGAAAAATTCACCCAAAGCACCATTTTCCCTAAGGCCAGCTCTGAAAATGATGATCTAATAATGAATCTACCTTTTCGAGGCAACTCCAGGCATTTCAGCGTGGAGAAATCTGTTTAGCGTCTATTCTGTATTTGCTGATATATATTGGGAAAGTTGTAAGAAGTGAAGATCAACTGTGTACCAGGACAACAGTTAAAGATGAATTACTAGACTTTCTACTGCCAAGCAACAGCTGGGTCACTGTTCCTTACTCAAAATCACAGAAGGAAGAAAATATTTTTAGAACATACAAAACATGATTAAGATCTTCTTTTGGCTCAAATCTGTTATGCAGGGACATTTTGTTGAAAGGGAAGAGGGAAAACATTTAATAAAGTACATATACATATACACAGCAGTACTTTGGTTCTGTCACAAAAAATCAGCTCTATTTGGAGTGACTACTGCTTAATATCCACATTACTGTTGTACATATGACTACTGAGTAAGGAAGAATTCTGTATACTAGTAGTGCCCAAGTCATCCGGCCCTGTGGGCTAGATCCAGTGCATGGGGCTAGTCTGCAGGCCAGATCTGGAGCATGGAGCCATGTCATCTGATCTGTGGGGCTCCCCACTGGTCTGGAAATTTAGCAGAAGGACAAGCAGTAATAGTGTTAACTGCCACTGCTTGCCTATTGCCACATTTCTTTTCTTGTGGGGAGCCCCGTGGGCTGGATCATGTGACTCTGCTAACAGGATCTGGCTTGTTGGCTGTATGTTAGCCGTGTTGTGTGGTTATTTCAGGGTTGACTTGGTAGTTTTAATAATGTATTAGACAATGGATTTGTATAGGATGGTTTGGATAGGGATGATCTAATCGCCCTTTGGTAGGGAGTTGGACTAGGTGAAAGTCCTTTCCAGCCTTACTTTTCAATGATTCCATAGCCCTGTGAATTAGAGGCTGAATTTAAAGGGTCAGAATTTAATTTCCTAAGCAAGACAATGTAACACCTCCACTTTTGCAAAAACTACCATGGCATCTTTAATTGCTTCAGGTGCCCAGGATGTTTTGTTTTGTAACTTTGTAAGAGATGACACATCCCATGGGCCAGAGCTCCTTAACATTGATCAGATGTATTCAAGAAAGCCTCTTTGCGCAAGATTTGTGCCCAGTTCTATAGATTCAAGACACTTGAGTCTATAGAACTGGGCACTATAGAATTAACATAAAGCTTTCCATTGCTTATCTGAACTTGACCATCAGAATATCAGAGGTTCACCTCTCCTACCAGAACCTATGTGGTGTACTATATATAACATGAATAACTTCATTGATTCTTGTATGAATTACTTCAATTTCTTAGCTGGCAGGAAGATATGGAAGCACAACATTTTTCATGTCCCGTGAAACATTTCAAGATTTAAAAATTGTTTCCATTTGTCACTGGAATGAAACTAAGACATTACAATACTTTACATGAAAAAACAGAAAGTGGAGTATTTAAATTAGCTAGTAGCCTGATGATCACTCATTCTGGATGTGGAAGACTCAAGACGATGTCTCTGACCTGTGTGGCTCATAAACAGGTTTTCAGTATAATTCTTATTTCATCAGTAATTCTTGCATTCTGTAATTCTTATTTAATTCAGTCACAAAGTAATTCTTATTTTATTCTAGTAAAGTAAGAAATGGTAGGTCAGAGTCTAATAATTTTCCCCATAGCCACATCAAGATTGTGACATAGGCAATTTAGGCATGTAAGATCTCTTACCATGCCTTAGGGGGCATGACAATTGAAGACAAGCAAAATAATCACAAATATTGAATATAGTATTATCAAAATAAGGAAAATAAATATAAACAAAATAGACAACAAAGATAAGCAGTTTTCAGTTATAATCTCTTTTTCCATAGCCCTATGTAGAGCTTTGAGAGAGATTACACTATTAAAAGGGTTCTGCCTTTGGAGAAGACCAAAGTACTTTATTCCCAAAATTGGTAGCAGGTCCTGTCTTATTATAATATCAGGAATAACCAGATTAATTTATAAATAAATGAAGATTTTCACTTAAGTGTTGATGAATTTTGTTTAATATATCATAACTTAAAGAGTTTATAAAATGACAACTGTGAGTAATCTTAACTGGGTCTTGTGGAAACTAAGAAAGAATTTAAGTTACTCAAACAAAGGCATTCAGAAGTTGTCTTGATATAAACCAAACATGATACTGTATATATATCAAGAAGTTACCTTGATATAAGTCAATCAGGATCATAGAAAAGCTGGCTGGAAGTGACCTATGGGCTAGGGACAGACATTACACATAAACCGGTTTAAGTAATCAGAAACTGGTTTAAACCTGTAACAGAACAGAAGTTCAGTGCACATAAACCAGTTTCAAAATGGCTGAAACTGGTTTAAGATAAACCTGTTTGAATATAGTATCAGACTTAACTGATTTGGGTCAAACTGGTTTATGCAGTGTATGTCCCAGACCCCTTCCTGGTTTAAGTTAAACCAGAGACCCTCAGCATCCCAGATACTTTGCAGCCCTGGGTTGTGCTGTCTGCTCCAGAGAGCAGAGCTGGCCCCACCCACGGCTCCCTGGCCAGAGCTCTGGTGGAGACACAGCAGGGTCTGCCTTGCTTCCCCCTGCCCCCCTCCCCCCTGCTGCTCGTTGCTCAAGCAGGGATCTCCCTGCCTCCCATCTCCCACAGCACAGACTCCAGCCTCACGGACCCTACACATATGGTATGTTAGCTAATGCTGAGAGGTGTCTGTGCGTGTTTGTGTGTGTCTCCAATTTCACTGGGACAGGTGGACAGAACAGTATCCACTTAGGGGTTTTTGGAGCTAATCAACAAATCAGCTGATAATGTCCCTCTGTTCTTTCCTTGGAAAAAGCTGTTTAAGAATAGCCTGAACTAATAAGAGAGGCTTTTGTTTTGCTGATGAGCTGATAACAGTGTTTATCAGCCCCCTGCTGGTTCCTTGCCTGTCCGGTTTGCAGACAGTATGAAGAAGCAGAGAGAGTGAGATTGAAAACCTCAGTATCAACAGATGCATGCACTGTACACCCCCAACCTCTGCCTCAGAGTGCTACCCTGGGCCTGGGGGCTGGCAACACTCCTGCCCCTGGTGCAGCGAGCCTAGGGAAAAGTGTGGGATGGTGCAGGCAGGGTGGGAGGTGGGAGGATGGGAAAAACTAACCCCAGATGCGGGGTGGAAGACCAGGCACTAGGACCCTACCACTGCTTCTGCCTCTTGCTGTCACAGCTTCACTGGAAAGGTGCTTGCAGCTAGAATTTGTCCCAAGCAGCATGAGGAGAGTGCCCACAGAAGGCACCTTCCCTACTAAATGCCTCCAAAGTCCTGCATCTATGAGTTGGATCCAGGCATAAATGCCTTGTGCCTCCTGAGGCTGGGGTGGGCACAGCAACCGCAGTAGCAAGGCAGTGGCAGCAGTGAGGGCAGGGGGTGTTGAGCGCCAAGTGGCGACCGGCGACTGCCCACGGACACCACTGGCAGCGTTGGCGGCTGGGGGGGGTGGTGGTGAGTGGCGACCG